GGGGGCGGGTGTGTTAAAAGGGAATCGTCAATCGAATCGTTGGCATCGGTAAGTTTCATTCGCTCATTGGATATTTCCAATGCCAAGGCAAGGCAATCCGGTATCAGGTCGGATACACACGTGCGTCCTGTCATCCCCTTTGCTGCGACACGTAATGTAAATTCTCTAGTTGAATGAAAGACGCGAAGGAAAAAACGTGTTGATTGCTTTGGGAATCGTGGGGAATCGTGGGGAAAACCGTTATGGCGCGCGGGGTCCCGTGCGAGCCGATCTTTGACATCAGCCCGCCTGCATTAATCTGTGCTTTAGCGAACCAATTTAAATATCAGGCTCGCAGTCAACGCAATTTTATATAATTTCCGATATCTTGATGACGCGTGGGTGGATGACTTTAAGAGAGTCCCTTGAACGCGTACTTGGCGTACTACGACGGTGCGCGGCGTCGGCGTCGGTTCCCTCCGCTCCTCGTACGCGGTGTTCGTGATGTCACGATATACACGATATACCGTCCAACGTAGACGCACGCGTCCGTGTGCCTACGTATACATTTAATTTTCTCTCTGAACGTGCCCGTGCACACTCGTGCATATTGAGGCGGTTAAGCGCAGCACATTTGCTGGACAGTCGGAGCTCATCGTTCGTGTGTACCAATCCGGTCGCGGAGGGAAGCGGGAAGGAATCGTGTGTGCGTCGTGCCTGTACAGTGTCGGCCGACCGTGTGTGCTCGCTCCGTCGCTCAGTGGGACTCGGGTGTGCGTGCGTGCGTGTGGGACCTTGAATCAAGCAGCCTTTGTCGCCGCGCGAGACTCCACCGCGGCACCACGAGGTCGGCGAAAGTGTACCCGGAGCTTTTTTGCTCGGTGCCGCCAACGGAGCTTTTTTTTTTTACTTTTTGACCCGAACCACCCCGCCCCCTTGCAACTTCGGCGTCGCTCTCTCTCTCTCTCTCACTCTCTCTCTCTTTAGCGCGCGCGCCATTTTCGTTTCGCAACGCCGGAATTAGCGGCTGGGAGAAAGAGACGTTATCGGAGATTTACGTCCTCGGGATGGGCAGCGCGAGCGGAGGAGCATTGCCAAAAATTGGACAGGGATCCCTTTGAGTTTTCTCGGCGATGGATGACGCAGCCTGTTCGCCAAACCTGCACTGTGGGAAATGGAAAAGTGAGGGAGAGCACCGAGTAGCCGGAGTCTCGGTCTGCTCGATGCACGAAAGTCTGGCGGTTTGGCTGTTTGGCCGTTCGCAACGTAGCAGCTACGTTTGGCGAACGAATTCGGGGAATTTGCCGTCTCTCGCGTAACGCGCGAGTCTCCGTCGGTTGGCGATGTACTTCGTGGAGCGAAAATTCGCGCGTGCTGTCCCTGATGTCGCCGAGAGCCGGCAAAGAATCCCGACGTGTCGTGTAGTCGCACTGGGTATAGTGCGACGGAGCGTACACTATGGCAGGCTCACAACGCGCGACGCGGTATTGAATTTTTGTGCGTATGCTACGGTCGATTCAGCGAAAGTGCATATAGCGAGCATCTGCGAGCGCCAAGCGGGAGGGGTTGAGCGAACTTTTCTCTCGCAGCCGTGAAGGGCACGTAAAGATGCCGAGGTTAATCGCGCACTTTTTTTCTTTTCTCTCTTTTCCCGAGAGATGATCTGTTTCCTAGGAATTTCGGGAATTTCGTACCATTGCCAGGATTAAACTCATTTTGAAAAAGCATTTTAATGTGTTCTCTGCGAGAGGAGCGTAACACGGGAAGCGGACCGAGAAAGTTGAACGCGTGTTCCCAATGGCCCTGGGTCCTTTGCCAACGAGGAAATATAGGCAGCTTTATTTTTCGTCCTTTTCTTTTTTTTTTTTTTGTTGTTTCCTCGTTTTTTTTAATGGGAACCCGAGAGAGGGGCGTACGCGGCCCAAATAAGGGTAGTAAAACCGTGTGACGTGGTAGGGGCGCGTACCCCCTCGGCTCTGACCAACCTTCTTTATGGTGTCGTCCGACGCTCGCGCTTTTAATGGGGCTTTTCGAAACGAAAGCTTCGGTCCGCCGTGTAATTTCTCCTCCCCTCCTTTGGCCCTCTCTCCCGACTTTCTCTCGTGCGCGCAGATAGAGAACCGAAGGGGAAACACGGGGAGCGAGAGTAGAGAAGCTTCGTGAGCAAGAAGCAAGTGAGCAGGATGAAGTCAGGATGGAGTCAGGATGGAGTCAGGATGACCCGGAGGGCTCGCTCTGTGACTCCTCGGCTGAGTATAGCGGAGCGAAGATTCGAGAGGACTAGTTGGCCCGATCGTTATTTTCCATATACCGGGTGAGACGCTCGATCGTCGTTCTAAAAGATTATCGTCTTGGTACGGTCACGCAATATCGCGGCACAGTGAGTTTCGCGACCTTTAAAGACTAAAGTTCACGTTATACAGTGTGGACGATTTATGGACGGTAGGAAAGTTCAATTGCCTATGACTCCACGGGGTCCTTAAAGATGTTTTCGCAGCGGTACTCTCATAATAACAGTAATGGTGCTGTGCTCCCAGTAGTGGCGCAGACCCAGGACCAGCAGCAGCAGCAGCAGCAACTGCTCGGCCCTGCGTGTACACGACTGGACGCAAACTCCAGAACGGAGAAAGAGAGAGAGAGAGAGAGAGAGAGAGCGACAAAGTGACGGAGCTTTCCTCCATCATCGCGCAGATCCTTAACTCCTGCTGGACCTTCGACGCCTTCTCACGGAATTAATAACAGCCCCGTTAAAAAGCTTTCGTGTTGCGGTAAACAGAAACATTCTCGATTCTCCGGCAGCTCCGGAGCTTCTCTTTCCCTCGTGGTTTGTCGACCTTTGCCGCGCTGGCGCTCTCACGCAAGCTTTACAAGCGAAAGTCCCGAACGACAGTGCAAGTTTCCAGCGATAGCGAAAGCTCCAACATCCACAGCTGTAAAGCTATTACGGCAGCCAGCCAGTGAGGCAGGCTGGCGGCCGGAGTCTGGTTCGCCGAGG